CATCGAACCATTTCTGTTTTTCTTCATTTTGGCAATTCTAGTCTCTAAAGCATATGATCGAAGTCCAGGCCTGCAAGCCACCTTTTTCTCAATGCTTGTCACAGCTCACCGTTCCGTGCCAGGACACGACAGAGCGGGGGGGGGAGGGACAGGGCAGTCCTCTCCTCCGGTGGCCCCTCTCCTCTCCCTACCCCATGGCATAGAGTAAAAGAGGGTCTGCAACCTGCCAGTTTTCTTTTTTCCTATTTTAACAGAGCAAATGAAAATGTGTCCTCTCACTCTCTTCATCTTCTTTCTCCCTTTATAGAGGTGCCTTCTCCTTTTCCTTCTCATTTGCCCCTGTTCTCTTAGAGCCTTTTCACCTTCCAAATACGAAATAGTGAATTTACCTTACCAAGTTGGGTAGAGGGGTAGCATGGCTGATGATACTTAGGAAGCACTGTGTGTGTTCTTTCCCCAGAGGGATTCACCTGGATCCAGCCACAGTCCTTGTTACTTGTCTCTTATGCCCACGAATTTTCCAACTGCTGGTCAGGGGCCGGAGGGCTGGGTTGGTAGCCATGAAACAGAAAAGGTGGTTGGCTCCTCCTCAGATCTCAGCTTCAGTAACACCCCATGCAGCCGATTGAGCTGACTGGGAACACTGTTGGAAGGAAGATTTGCCTTTGTGGAGAATTATGCCAACATTTCTGCTTCAACCCCCAGCAACAGATTCTTTGGGGTGTCTTAAAAGGCTTTTTGGAAAGTGGGCTTACATGCAGCAAATAGGATTTCAGTTAAATGGTTACATTTGTTTCCCTAAGTGTATCAGAGGGAAGCTGCGCTCTTCAGAGCATGTGTTCATTAAAGGTTTGAAGTGGGGTGGGAAGCAATAAAAAAAAAAAGGCCAGTGGGTTCTCTTGTGAGATAGTTTTTTGTTCCGATGAATTGAATACACTCTCTGAAAAGTTTCAAAAAGAGATTGGGAAGAATGTATTTGCTTTGATCCAACGTGTAGAGTGTTTCCTACTACAGATGCCCTTTAATTTAGAAACATTGTTGAAAAGTCTATTTGAAAGTGCATACAAATATAATATGTAAATAAGCTCTAATTAGTTATTTCAATTAATTATTTTTTGTTTCTGCTTTGTAGCTCGATTTTTCTCCCCATAATGTTGCTTGTCAGAGTCCAGCTTTGGCACCCTCCAAACTGTGTTTTTCTAACAGTAATTATTAAGAAAACACATTTTCCCCTCTGTTGAAAACTTTATAATGATAGTGAAATTCCAGGTTGTGTATCTTTATAAGGAATTGTTTCAGACATTTTTAGCTTATGATTTTCTTGTATAATATTAAAGAAAGAAATCCTGCAGTTAATTGAAAGAATGGGTGTTTCCTTCTTCAAATAAATGGTGTGTGTTGTTTTTAGAAAATGAATCTACACCAGGCCAACCAACTAGCCTCTAATCTTCTTTCCCGACCATCCTATGTTTTTTCAGTGACAAATACATTGGATTTGAAGATTAAAAGTTTTAATTCTTGCCCTGGCCGGTTTGGCTTAGCAGTTAGAGCATTGGTCATCAGACCAAAGAATCTTGGGTTTGATGCCGGTCAAGGGCATGTACTTTGGTTGCAGTTCATCCCCTGCCCTGGTCTGGGTCATGTGGGAGGCAACCAGTCAATGTGTCTGTTTCTCACATTGATGTTTCTCTCTCTCTCTCTCCCTCCCTCTCTCCCACTCTATCTGAAAATCAATGGAAAAATATCATCAGGTGAGGACTGAAAAAAAAAGTTGTAATTCTTTCTAAGTCAAATAAGATTCTTCTCAGTGGGGACAATAGATGCTCTGGGAGAACACAGGTAAAATGACTCACATTATTTCTACATAGTAAATTTTTGGAAATAGACTGAGAACCTTAAATGTTGATTTTGGAAGTCTATAAAGTAAACAGTGTGACAAATTATGAGCTTTCCACTGAGCCCATAGTTTATACACCCTCTGCACTTCACTTGACTAGAATTAGAATTATAGAGCTTAGAGGGACTTTGGCAGTCATTTAGAAATCAGGGAACAATTCTCAGTTCTTACCCACCTAGTTCCTGGTGGTGGTTAGGTAGAAATGCAAGTTACAGTCTATAGAATCAAAATCTCTGGGGTGAGGGGCTCTATATTTTTCACAAACATCTCTAGAAAATTCTGATGCTCAGTGAGTTTGGCAACCACTGATTTAGGTTAACCCATTAATTCTGCAGTGGAAAGCAGACCGAGAGAATTGATGGGTCATACGTCCATTGTACCCTAGGCAAGAACAAGCTTCGTCACTCTAGACTAGAGGTTGTCTATACATCACGTATCATGTGGGTAGGTTGAACCCTACTTCTGTTACTCGGGGTGATTTCATCACCAAGAGTAGGAGACCATGGTTCTAAATAAAGTATAAAGGTAAAGACACCTAAGGATTAGGTCGAGTTTTTGTGCTGGGGTTTCTGTCTAAATGAAAACCTGAATGAACCTGAGCCATGTTGTCTCAGCCTTTTTCTTGTCTATGAGCCTGAGACCTATGTAAATAGGCGAGATGTTTAGCTCATTTGTTCGCTTGTATAGTTGAACCCCCAGTAGGTTAGGCTTTGGGTATGTGTGCCTGGTTGATATACACATCTTTAGGCTACATGCTTGTTTAAAATGCACATTTGTGTATTTTAATATTGCCTATGTATGTTCCATCTAGAAAATTATAATAAAGTCATTAAAAAGTATAGACTTACAACCCCAGTAGTACCCACAGAAGTGTATATAACTATCCAGCAGGTGCTTACTATTGTTATTATATCCAAAATTCAAATAGCCAAAAAAGCTAAAATAACCTAAATTTATTTTTGCTGTATTCTATGGTGAAAGTTTCAACACTGATGATGATCCTGAATCTCTACAAGATCACGACCCCTTTCTAATCATTAGGAAAGAACGTGTTCTATTCAGTGTCATTTCAGCATTAAGTCAATCTGCCTATTCATTTTTGGAAACTGCAATAGCCCAGTGTCTAGAAGATGTCGAGGTCCACTCAACTCCGTTCCATAGTCCCCGTATGAACACATGTGTAATGTAGAATTATTAGAAAAGACAACATGTTATCATAGGGAAACAAACAAAAGTAGGCTGTTTCAAGAGGCAGATGACCAGGTTAGGAGGATCAGTCTAGAATAGCTATGGGAAATTAAAATCTCTTTATATGCATGTAGCTGTTTGTGTGCTAAATAATATTCCATTTGTCGTCCCTTCGACATAAATATTTATTGATGGTCTTCCATGTGCAAAGCTCTGTGTTAAGTGCTAAGGATAAAAATCGACCTGAGAAGTTTACAGTGTGGTCCTGGCTGCTCGCACAGGAAGAGGCAAGCTCATTGGAGAAAGCGGGGTCACGGCGCAGCGGACCGCTCCGTCTGCTCCAGCGCTCAGAGCCTGTGACTGACAGCACCTCCTTCGCGTCCGGCAGCAGCAGCCGAGTGTTGGGTTCTTGCTTATCTCTCACACATTCCTCAGCCAATCTGAAGACAGGAGCGGGGTAGGATTTTGTTGCTGCTCAGTAGTAAAGAAATAGCTATTCTAGGAAAGAAGAGTATGGAGCTCCTGTAGCGTAACACCAACACATTTACTTTGTCTTTCACCACCTCTCCTGTTTAAAAACGGTAGGATCTCCTTCTTTCCGGCAGATGCACTGTGACACTGCTTGATTACGGATGTCATTTTATCAGCGATGGAAATGAAAGTTCTGTGAGCTTTGTGATCCTTTTATTCACACAGTTCATGTGAGTCAGTATCTCCGTAGGATGGCAATTTGTTAAATAAATGTTTTAGCTCCTTCTAATGGAAATGGGGTGCAACACTGATCATTATATCATTGTTATTAGTAGTAATAATTGATTTTGTACCCATATCATGAAATAGGCTCAATGTGAGATTCCTTTGATAAATGTAGTTCTTAGCACCCAGCCATGAAATGGGCCATATGGAAGGATTTCTCAAATGAAAGCTGTAAATCAAAAACTGTCAGAAAAATACTGCTGTTTATATAATCATGATGACCTATTCTGGATTTTGTCCGTTGGATTGATTGTGACAGAGTTGCTATGCTCCCCAGCAGCAGGCTGCTCCTCCCACCTGAGGAAAACGAGTGGCTGCTTTGTAGCAGAGCCATGATTACTACCAGGCCCCCGGCAGTACCAGGGCAGCACTCCCAGAACCGTGGACTTCCTTGGACATGCAAAGGGCCTTAGCAATCACTTGCAGACAGCCAGTGGCCTTGAGTAACCGGCAGGATTTGGCAAAGTAGAGATCAGAGAAGAGACTCTTGTGTAAAAAGAAGCACTGTGCACTAAGACATGGGGGATGGAGTGAGCCACTGTGCTCATTTGGGGAACAGTGGGAGCATCTCTGCCTGGACTAAAGAGGTCATATTCCCATTGGAGAGGAGTTGGTAGCTGGAAAAGTGAGACGGGGGCCAATTAAAGGACAAACCCTTTATTGATTTGGGAAGCAAAGGGAAGGCTACATACCAGTGTTTAGGATCATTTTAGAGTCAGACAAGCCTAGAGCCAAATCCAACTTCATCTCTTATTGGCTGGGTGACCTCAAGACAAAATACTTAACCTGGCTAAAACCTCAGTTTATTCATCTGTGAAACAGAGCTGATAACATCTCTCTCATAGAGATGTGTGGCTGATCTTGTATGAGAAGCCCCAGCGAAGTGCCTGGTGAAATGGAGTTTCTGAGGAGGGAAGCGAGGAGACGGGGGCTGTAGGAAGGCAGTTGGTGGCAGCTGCGTGCTGCAGAGATGGAATCAGAAGTGACCAGAGATGGGACCAGTCTCAGCGATCTCCTAGGAGGGAAGGAGGACACATATCTATACCTGTATTTCTGTCCTGTTGTGGAATTTTGTTTAACTTGAGTTGAGGGTTGTGTAGCCTTGTCCTGTGCTGTTAACAGTACAATAATCATAGACTTTGGCTTTTGTTTTGAACAGGATGCCAGCGGTCCATAGGCCTTTCCAATGGGAAAGCCAAGGTGTGCAGTTACAGCGGGTGGTATTACTGCAGCAGCTGCCACGTGGACGACAGCTTTCTCATCCCAGCACGCATAGTCCACAACTGGGACACTTCAAAATACAAGGTAGGCCCAGAGGCCGGGCGCACTTCATGATGGCTGTTGGTTTGTACGTTGTCACATAGACAATGAGATAAGCCCTGGCCGGTTTGGCTCAGTGGTTAGAGCGTTGGCCCGTGGACCAAAGAGTCCAGGGTTCGATTCCAGCCAAGGGCACATACCTCGGTTGCTGTTTGCCCCTGGCCCCAGTTGGGGTTGTGCAGGAGGCAACCAATCAATGTGTCTCTCTCTCACATCGATGTCTCTCTCTCTCTCTCTCTCCCCCACACACACTCTGTCTGAAGATAAATATAGAAATATCCTCATGTGAGGATTACAAAAAAAAAGACAATGAGATTAGAACTTGATTAGGTAGTTTCATAAAAGCTACAAGATCTATTCCCACTTTCTGTCCTGTTGTGTTATCTCCCTCCTTTCTGTGGGTTTAACCACCAGAACTCACATGCTGATGGTTCCCACTTTTAGCTCCAGCTCCAGTTTTGCCTCTGAGATCTGTGAGTGAGTTAGCCACACGGTACAGCATCTCCACGGCTGCACAAGCCAGGTACTAGGATTCCAAGGCGGGGAACCCAGCCTGCGCTGGAGTGGTACTTTAGGCTTAGGGTTCTCCTGTGCTGCAGTGCCTGCCACAGAGCAGGGAATTCTGTTACCTGGTCTGACTAGGGCTGTTTGGAGCCTTCTGCCAGGGTGCTGTCACATCTGTCTCGAGTGAGCCTTCCACGCACGTGCTGTGAACCAAAGCAGGCTGTTGTCTGTTTTTACATCTCCTCGCTAGTAGATGTCTGAGACTTGCTTTCATTGTAACAGTATCACCTGGGAGCAAGGTGGGTGGAAAAGGAAGGTGCCTGTAGCTGTCACCTAACTGTCATCTTGAAGTCTAAAATGAACATGAAAATTGTGCATGACCAATAGGCTTGCACCTCTGGGTAGCCCTGTCTCCTTTTCTACTCAGTAGCCATCTGTATCTTCACTGCCTTCGAGATGCCTCATTCCACTCCTTAGTGTACAGCCTTGCCTCCTTCAAGGAGAAAATGGAAGCTATGGGATATGAATAGGAATACCTACAAGTCTATAGAAGTTTGTCCCTATCCTTTCTGCTTCTCTTGCTATCTTGGGAGGAAGAAGAGCCCTTTCTCGAGTACGGTTCAGACTGATAAACCTCGGGGGGGGGGGGGGGCACGGGAGGGATGAGATAAACCAAAGAACTTATTATATGCATGTATGCGTAACCATTGGACATAGACAACAATGCTGGGGGTTGGGGGCAGGATAGGGAGGAGGGTGTCTGCAGAGAAAAAGGAGAGACATCTATAACAAAAATAAATTAATAATAATAATAAAAGAGCCCTTTCTCTTGTTTAGAGATCATCTGTCCACGCATGTCTGCTTTAGATATTTTTTACCCATGTGTGGAGTCCCTGCTCACTCTTTCACAAAAGCATGTCCTCCTTGATGAAATCCCTGGTGCTCCCACTGTCCCCGTTGCTCCTTTGCTGGCCCTCTGTGCCACCACCACGCATGGCCCTCTGTGCCACCACCACGCATGGGTCTCTGTGCCACCACCACGCATGGCTCTCTGTGCTGCCACCACGCATGGGTCTCTGTGCCACCACCACGCATGGGTCTCTGTGCCGCCACCACGCATGGCCCTCTGTGCCGCCACCACGCATGGCCCTCTGTGCCACCACCACGCATGGGTCTCTGGAACTGCAGATTTAGGGGTTACTAACAGGAGCTGGTTGTTAAACAGGCATTTGTCCACATCCTACCTCACCTTTAATTAGGTGCTTGATTTGTTGGTCTGAATCACTTGAGCTTCCCTGAACCTCAGTTTCTTAATCTGTAAAATGAGCCCAGACTGCCTGGGTTCAAGTCGTAGGTTCATCACTCGTTAACTGTCTCACCTGGGCAAGTTAAGCAGTCTCTCTGTGCTTCATTGTCCTCATCTGTAAAACGAGGCAGTGGTAACAGATGGGCACTGCTGGCTGAAGGAGCGAATGCGCGGGAAGTGTTCAGAACAGTGCCTGTCCTGGCACCTATGTGGGCCAAATAAACATCGTTCTTATCATAATTCACATGTTTACCGAAGGGAGTGGTGTGAGTTGGGATAATATAAGAAAAGCACTCTTCAAGTGCCTGTGATAAGCACTTGAAGAATGGACGTTGTTGTAATTGTTACTATCCTCACATTTGTGTAATAGTCAGCTGCATATCTGTCTTCTCTGTAACAGTCAGCTCCCTGGGCACAGGGAGCCTGTCTTAGCACAGCTCCTGGCACAGTGCAGGTGAGCAGGGATGCCTACCGAGTGACTCAGCCTGCCCTGTGCACCTCACTCTCAGGATGCCCCGAGTGGGCTCATCACCCTCCCTAATGTCCCCCTAATGTCCCCCTAAGTACACATGGCTTCACCAGTCACCACTGCCAGTGCGGGGAGACATCCGGACTCTTCCTCCGCCATCCCTGCCTCCTCAGCTGGCAGACATCAGCCAGGGAACTTGCGCTCTTGAGAACATGCTCTCTCCACTGCACCCACGACTCTGCCCCCACACTGACGTGAGCCCTCAGCAGCATTCCGGTGAAGGAGTTCAGTAGCTTCCTAATTGTGCTTCCTGCCTTCAAGTCTGGCCCCAGCAACTTCCAAAAAAGTTCTAATTTGCACCAACAGTATTTCCAAAAACGTCCTGATCTCACCTTGGGTGAATTTTGTACCCTCCTTGGTCTCAGTTTCTTCATACTCAGAGTGGAGATAATAATAATAGTACCTATTTCATAAGTTTGTTCTTTGCTTAAATAAATGATTCACAGAAAGCACCTAGTGCAGCGCCTGGTACATAATATGTGATCAGTTAATGGCAGCTGTTACCGTGATTGTACATAAGGCAAATACAAATCTCTTAGCTTGACATAAAGACCTTTGTGATCTCTAGTCCCTGCCTTTCGAGGCCCCTCGTCCATCGCCTCCCCACCACCCTGAGGCTCCTTCCTCTTCCCCAGTCCTGCCATGCCATTGCACACCTCGTCTTCCTCTGGCCTCACTCAGCACCGCAAGTCCTAAACCCAGCTTAAACCTCATTTCCTCTCCTGACTCTTTCCTTCCCCTCTGCCAGACAGAGTTATCATTCTCTCCTCTGCATCTTGTATTTGACACTCTGAATAGAGGCTATAAATATATTTGCCATGTGTGTATTAGATAAAAACTTATTTAGGGGGAAAGAATGCTAGTTGAATTTGGTTAAGACAGTTTAAATCAATCTACTTGGAGCAAGGCTTTGACAGCTAAGAGACATGTGTAGGGAGCAAGTGAGTGAGGTGGTCCTAGCTCTGTGATCATTGAGGGCTTAGGCTGGTGGCCCTGCCAGCAGAAAATATGCCAGTCGGTGGAGCTACAGCAGAAACGGTGCCGCTGAATGAGGAAAACGAACAATTCAGGCATAGTTCATGCAGACGTGAAATGGAGGAGGAAACCCAGGTCTGTTTGCAGTGAGCTGTAAAGACCACCCAGGCCATCACGCGTCAGGTTAGCCGCCACTGACACTTGCGGTCTTTCTCTGCAGCAGGCATTTGCCATGGTGGTCATCCCAATGACAGGGTTCGAATTGGAGAGGATAGGTTACTAAACGAACATATCGGGTACCCTCGCTTCATCCATGTTGCCCGTAAGGAGAGTGTCCTCTGTCAGACCGTTCCTTCTCAGGGTGTCAGTGAACAAGGGAAGATTTTACAGCAAGAACAGAGCTGGTCGATTTTATCTGGATCATCTCGCACAGGCATCAAGTAACTCTATTCCATTTAGTGCAGTGTCTGTCTGTCTTTGCTCAGAAGCAGGATTTATCTTAATGTTCCTAATTGTGAGGATCAATTCAGACCTATCAGTTTCTAAAACCAGACATCTTTCTGTTAGATCTGCCTGCTCTCTCTAATAGCAAGTACGTGACTGGCCTATCCATTTAAACAAGTGAAAAAATGGTTTTGCAGAGCAGGATGAAATCTGTCATCTTAAGGGTTTCCTTGTCTGCCCTCTGGAGTAATAATAATCCTAATTATTTTTAAAGCAGGATTTCATCTATTTTCCGGTGTACATCCTGCAAATTGAACTGAGCTCCAGGATTACCCAGCAGCTAAATCCTGTCCTCAAATTCTATAGCCATTTTCTAATGAAATTCTCTTTGATGATAACTTTCCCCTGACACCCCCCCCCCACCACCATTCAGTTATACCAGCATGACTAAGAGGTGGTAAAGAACTCTGACCTACCCTCAACTCTTCCTAATAGTTCCCCTCCGCTGTGCTTTTAAAAAATAGTTTTGCATCCGCGCCTGAATACTCACATTCCACTGAGCCAGGGGTTTTCCATGTCACAGAAACCCTTTCCTATCTCTGTTGTTTGGAGAGGCGTTCAGGCTGGGCGCTATAGCCCTTGCGGAGCTGGAGACAGTTCACTGATGGGAAAAACCACTTGTTCAGAGTCATTTGGAGGTTTCAAGAACAAATTCTAATTAAACTTAAGATCTCCTGATTCCTCCTCCATTAGCCCACAGTGCCTGTTTTAACAGGACCAAGAAGTATTATGGTTGGGATAGATTTCAATAAGCTTTCACCATGATGTCTCAGAGATGGAAAGATACGGTGGAAGAAAACCTTATACCAAAGCAATCAGTGGTTATTGACTGTGGTAAAGTTATGGGTGATCTTTTTTCCCCCCCTTTTCAATTTTTATTCTCCAAATTTTCAGTAATGTCATTATATTATTTTTATTATTTTATAAATTTTAACTGTCACTTAAGAAAATACATAATAGAAATTAACTTTTTTTACTGCCTCAGAATTAGAATTATGATTATTCTGTCTTGCAGTAGAAAACTTCAATGTGCTTTAATGTGGTGTAGGAGGTTAGTTTTTCATAAAGAAATTGCCTTGTGCTGCTATACTTTTATTCTTCTTTTTAAAATATACTTTCACAAATTTCAAGATTCAGAAAGTACAACCCTGGCCAGTTTGGCTCAGC